CCTCCCCTACCTCTACCTCCTCTTCCTCCTCCTTACCCTTCGGTGAGTGTATGGAGCGAAGCTCCTTCATCTCCACCTTCTTCACAGCGCGACCGACCCTCCTCTACCTTTACCTCCTCTCTCTCCTCTTCCTCCTCTTCCTCCCCCTCCTCCTCTACTTTACCTATTCCTCCTCCCCTACCTCTACCTCCTCTTCCTCCTCCTTACCTTTCGGTGAGTGTATGGAGCGAAGCTCCTTCATCTCCACCTTCTTCACAGCGCGACCGACCCTCCTCTACCTTTACCTCCTCTCTCTCCTCCTCCTCCTCTGCTACCTTTACCTCCTCCTCCTCCTCCCCTACCTCTACCTCCTCTTCCTCCTCCTTACCTTTCGGTGAGTGTATGGAGCGAAGCTCTTTCATCTCCACCTTCTTCACAGCGCGCCCGACCCTCCTCTACCTTTACCTCCTCTCTCTCCTCTTCCTCCCCCTCCTCTACTTTTACCTATTCCTCCTCCTCCTCCTCCTCTACCATTACCTCCTCCTTCTATACCTTTACCTTCTCCTCTCCTCCTCTACTTTTACCTATTCCTCTTCCTCTACCTTTACCTCATCTTCCTCATCCTCCTCTACCTTTACCTCCCCTTCTACCATCACCTCCCCTACCTCTACCTCCTCCTTACCTTTCGGTGAGTGTATGGAGCGAAGCTCTTTCATCTCCACCTTCTTCCCAGCGTGACCGACCCTCCTCTACCTTTACCTCCTCTCTCTCCTCTTCCTCCCCCTCCTCCTCTACTTTTACCTATTCCTCCTCCCCTACCTCTACCTCCTCTTCCTCCTCCTTACCTTTCGGTGAGTGTATGGAGCGAAGCTCCTTCATCTCCACCTTCTTCACAGCGCGCCCGACCCTCTCTACTTTTACCGCCTCTCTCTCTCCTCTTCCTCCCCCTTCTCTCCTTTTTACCTATTCCTCCTCCCCTACCTCTACCTCGTCTTCCTCCTCCTTACCTTTCGGTGAGTGTATGGAGCGAAGCTCCTTCATCTCCACCTTCTTCACAGCGCGCCCGACCCTCCTCTACCTTTACCTCCTCTCTCTCCTCTTCCTCCCCCTCCTCTACTTTTACCTATTCCCCCTCCTCCTCTACCATTACCTCCTCCTTCTATACCTTTACCTTCTCCTCTCCTCCTCTACTTTTACCTATTCCTCTACCTTTACCTCATCTTCCTCATCCTCCTCTACCTTTACCTCCCCTTCTACCATCACCTCCCCTACCTCTACCTCCTCCTTACCTTTCGGTGAGTGTATGGAGCGAAGCTCTTTCATCTCCACCTTCTTCCCAGCGTGACGACCCTCCTCTACCTTTACCTCCTCTCTCTCCTCTTCCTCCTCTTCCTCCCCCTCCTCCTCTACTTTTACCTATTCCTCCTCCCCTACCTCTACCTCCTCTTTCTCCTCCTTACCTTTCGGTGAGTGTATGGAGCGAAGCTCCTTCATCTCCACCTTCTTCACAGCGCGCCCCACCCTCCTCTACTTTTACC